CAGCTCCCCGCCAATGGATCACGGAAGAAAATAGAATCTGTGGGATAACAGGGTGGATTTTTTGGCTCCTGGCTTCAACCTAATGAAGACCAGTCTGTTGTAGTCATTTGGGGAGCAAATCAGTTGATAAGATCTCTCTCTCTTTCATTCTGCTTCTCTCTCTCTCTCTGTTGTTCCATCTCTCAAACAATCTTTTAACAGAGAGAAAATAAGAGAAAGAGAGAGAGAGAAGGAAGGAAGGAAGGCAGGGAGGGAAGGAGGAAGGGAGGAGGGGAGGAAGGACAGAAGAAAGAAGGAAGAAGGGAAGAGAAGAGAGGAGAAGAGAGGAGAGAGGAGAGCAGAGGAGAGAAGAGAAACTAAACTTTAGGTATATATCTAATATTAGATACTGAATAGTGGTGACAATGGAATATTAAATTCTGTTGTTAGTAATTTATTGTTCTGAATCATAAAATGCCAGATAAGAGTTTTTCTAATGTCCTCCCTATCTAACATTAAAACATTATGCAATACTCACTAAGGAAAAACATTCCTGTTTTACAGAAAAGACAATAACAGCACTACGCGTAAGCTACGTTAGGCTTTACCTTTACTCCATATATTCAATTTTCTGGGTCCTGGGATCAGATCAGTCATGTCTGTACATTTCTTACTCTTTATTACATGAGAATTTTGCCCTTCTCTTCTTTTATATGACAGTCACATTGAAACAGATAATTAGTACAAATTATGTTAATTATTGAGGATAATGACAGTGTGATTAACTTTATGAGGAATCATTTTTATATAGGCATATATGTATGTATATGTATACACATATATATGATCTTGAAGGATGAATAATATTTGGTCATGGAACAAAGAACACAAAAGGGGTACCAAATGTCTAGAAAATGAATAAATTAAGCAATATTAAAAACACATGGGTTAGTATAAATTATTCTTTAAAAGCTGGAATAGCAGAAAAATTGTCATGATCAAAAAATAACTGTACAAAACCAAGCTATGAATGCAGTGGTGAAGAGAGGCAGAGAGTAAGAACGATAGGAAGGAAAAATCAAACAATAAGAGCTAGGAAGGAAGAGAGGCAGGGAGAGAAGACTTCTTGAGGTGAAGTAACTAATACTATTATGGGGATTTAGAGCGTAAGCAACTAAGGGCCTCAACTGTTCCAAGACACAAGTGAAATCTTATATATTCAAATGTGTTAAACCTCCATAGAATCACAACTGCATGAGATAGGACCAGAAAGGAACCATCTGGTGAATCCAGTTTCCAGAGTGCAGAAATCGTTAAGCAAAACACTTATAGCAAACATGAGGTTGTGCTGTCACAGAGGCTAAATTCTGTCCCTTCTGCTTTTGGAGAAAACAGACTATAGAGATTAAATGGATGCCAGGAAGTCTAAGACCAGAAGTTAGAATATCAGTAAAGAAATGCCATTGACAATAAGGAAAATTAATTGAGAGCACAACTGGTGTGATTATTATCTGTTATCACTTGGAACAGAGGGAAAAATAAAAACAAAACTAGAACACAAGGAAAATAATCTTTTTAATGTTGATCAAGTTTAGGTTTGCAGAGAGCTGTTGAGAAACTAGCAACTGGCACATGTACAATTATCATGAGCGAGGCTGAGAACTAAAAAGGTTGTCATAAAACAAGTGATGGAGCCAAGGACAGAGAACAAACCTCAGGCAAAATAAATTGGCATTAGTCAGAGACTGTTTGTTGTCCTTTGTGGTAATGGATCCTAACAAAACCCAGTTGAATTTCAAAATCACAACCGACTAGGAATTGCTAGCTTCCCTGTCTTTTGGAATGGAAGACTCTTGGGAGGTGGAAGGGTAGGAGTGTGTGCTTGTACTTATTTAAAATAGTTTACATGTTTCTGTCTATCTATTCAGGATCGCTCTTGATTCCCCATGTATGTCTTTGTAGTTTTACTATTGTCTAATGCTGATTCAAGTCTGTTGTCTATAAGATATCTGCTATGTTCCTGATAGGTTATACTTCATGTCTTCCTCACACATTCTAAGGAGATGGAAGATTTCTCTGCTCTCCCTCCGCCCCAATTCCGAGTAGCATAGGGTCTTAAAAGTATATTAGGTTTTACAATTTTTTGATGTAGATCATAAGCAGTCTGACTCACATTGATTGTTGGTTGATTGGTTACATCATAGTATCTTATTGCATGAGTTACAGGCTGTTTGGGGTTGAAATAATATTACAGTTTACAGGTACTATTTTTTGGATTGATACCACTTCATGTTAAATTAAGGCAAACATGTGGTATCTAACTTTTGGGATTGGCTCATTTCCCTTAGCATAATGGTATCTACTTGGGCCCATTTGGCCTCAAAGAGCTGCATTTCGGATTTGTTTGTTTGTTTGATAGCTGAGTAGTCCATAACATGGAAAACTTAGAACCAGAGAGGAAATGGTCAGTGTGGACTCACACATACCTTACTAGGTAGGACACAAAGATTAGTTACTCCTCACTAAGGAACTGAAGATTTATCTGCACACTCCTTCTAAAACTGTTCTGCACCTCAATTGTTGACATATGCCTTGTTCTAAGCCAGTTTTGACTATCCTAAAATCTGCCAAGTTCAGCAAAATTATGCTTCAATATAAACTGCTAAATACTAAAATGAAAATACAAGAGACAGCTGAATAGTACCTTATAGCCATTTTAAGGTGTATAGAAGCTGGTTCTGTGTATAAACTAAAATTGAAATGTCAATGAAGTAGTCATAGGATGTGGTTAAGAACTTGCATTTTTTTTAACAGATTGATTACTCAATACCATGTTAATTAATTCCATAATGTTATAAAATGTTGTTGATATTATTTTGTGGATTTCAATTGATCGAGATGATATTCTACCAGCTCTGCCTTCAGACCAGAGATGGTCTCCCCAAGAAACCACTGAATTTATCTGGACAATAAGATGCTGGACTCTATGCTTGATATACACTTGCAATGAAAGAATCTTGACTGAATTTGATCTGCAATACAGCAACAAGGTGGAGGAATCCACCATGGGAGGAGGGTAGAGGGAGGGATGGGAGGAATCCCAGAGCCTATGAAACTGTGTCACATGATGCAATGCAATTAATAAAAAAATAATAAATAATTTTAAAAAATACTTTAGGGTGTCTGTGTATAAAATAGTTCAGAAATAAGCTAGTTCAAGAAGGACTTTAGTTGTGAGGCTTCATTCTCATCTGCAGCTGACTTCAATGGTACTATTTTGTATTTACACATGATTTGTGCTGAGTCTTCAGGAGAATGAGATTTCATTTATGATAGTGGAATATTAATCAGCAAAATCCAGAGAACGAATTATGATATACTTTGCCAGGGGAAATCCCCTCTAAAAACGCTACTTAAAAGTACAATCTCAAATGCAACATTTCAAATGCAGCCCCTGATCTTATACCTGAGTAGAAAAAAAAAATGTCATTTTAATGCAGTCACTACATTGTAGAAAATACTGGTTTCACTCCTAAATGACTAGAGGCCATGGAACAAGAGGCGCTAGGGGACTACATCTCATCTCTGAATTCCAACTCCATTCACGTTGCCAGTAGAATACAGCTACATCACTGACCCAAGTTCATTTAACAATAATAGAAGAAACACGTCGGTGAGTCAGAAGAAATAATAAAACTTTGTGGTTTTATGAAAATAAGAAGTTTTCAGTTGTTTTATCTAATATCATTAACAAACATATTCCTTATTTACATTTATCTCTATCATCTACCATATTCAAGAAATAATTGGTGATTAGAAAGTTCTATAGTTAAAATTAGATTTTTAAGTTTGGAAGATAAGAAAACGCTGATTTATTGACATTGCTATCTTCTTTTCTAATTAACTATGTAGACATATTGCTAAATAAGCTATGGTTAATTCATGTAAATTTCAATTAATTTTGCATTTAGGCTATATAAATATGTAATATAGAGATCGGGTTATGAGATAAGTTCTTGACAGATGACAACTTAAGCAATAAAAAACAACCATAGAAAAGGAAGGGGCAACATTAAGCATCAAGAACACATATTAATGAGTACTGTAAAGAGGAGAATAATTCAACATATTGATATGTGAAAATGAGGTCCTCACATCCACCATATTTTTTCTGTTTCTAAATAGCAACTTCCTGCATCTAATCAAACTCACTTATTTGCAATGGCATTACATCTACTGTATCTTCAGCTGATTATAACTATTACTTAGAGAAACCTCTCCAAAAAGTGATGTCAAAGTTATTAAACCACAAACACAGAATTCAAGCTTAATTATTCTAAGTTCTTCCATCTACTACATACATATTTGTAACACTTATAATGAAGCTACTCTTTCATCTTGTTGCAATCAGGTATAACAATCCATAATACCAGACAAGCAAAACTTCCAAAGTAAAACTTAAGTCATTAATCATGCATCCAAAACTATTTTTGCCAAAGCAAAATTACCAATGGCAACACAATTTCACACATCAAACAAAAATAATCTAGCTATCAAACTTATTTTTTAAATAAAACATTTAGTAATGGCTAATATAAATCCTTAGATTATTAAATTATTCTTTAATAATTTTATAACTTTATCATTATTACCTATTTCTGGGTGATATCTACCTAGTTTAAGATACGTAAAAATTAAATGATTACTAGATGCACTTATTTATTTTAATACATTGTCATAGTCTTCACAGGCTCTTGAATACAACATTTCATGCCACTTAATTATTTTGCTAAAAGTAACATGGCATAGTTTTATATATCTTTCCCAGGAAAAAAATTATCATATTTTCTTAAAAATTTCTTTAAAAATTTATCAAATTTTCTTAAGCTACTAAAAGTCAGTTTTTCCATAATTATCAGTATTTGCTTTCAACAATTTATTATTTGAAAATAAATGGAAAACCCAATGACTTTTTAAAATCATATGCTAAATACAACTTAAATGACTTAAATGTTTCTTACCATGGCAGGAACCCTCAATTTCTTCATATCCTGTACTGCAGATACACCTTCCAAGAGGAACCAGCCAATCTCCATCAGCTCCACAATAGAGTTTAGGAGTGTCACGCTCTTCAGCACTCTTCACACAAGAGCCCCGTACTTCAACCAAGGAGGAAGAATCAACCCTTGGAATGGTGTCAGGAAACATGGCCAAGTTTCGAACAGTGAAGGGACACTTTTTGTAAAAAACGCGGACTGAGACCAGGGCAATACATGCGCCGATGTCTTGAAAAGCCAGATAAAATCCTTTTCTTTCTATAGGCCCTACTTCACGAATTTCAGTGTTGAGTTTGAGGATGCGATCACCCAAATCCATCTGGGTAAAACTCTCATCAGCAGCAATTGTATCAATCTTTGTATACTGGTTTGGCTTGAATTTAACTCCATGGGACTCATCAGATTCCATATAATACAAATTAAATGTTTCTTTGCAAGTCCCCAAGACCCATGGGATGCTGTTACAATCCCTCAGTGTGAACTTCATTTCCACATAAATTTTCTGAGCTGCATCACGAGAAATCCAGTTTGTACGAAGCCAGTTGTTTTGATTTGGTTCCATTACATTACATACTTGGTACGTGTGAATGGGTCTATTGTGTTCATCCATTTCGGTGATGGCATCCCACTGGAAAAAAAAAAACAAAGAAAGAAAGAAAAAAATCACTGTTATAAAACCACAGTAGCAAAATAGAAATCATTACTTTCAAATTACTGTCTTACAGAATGAATAATGATTATAAAGAATATAAATGAAGCTATTCCAATACAGGAGCATTTAAACTGTGAGCCTCTGGTTAAGAATATGTGTTCTAGAATCAACTGTCTTGGTATGAAGCTTGCCTTCCTGCACACTAATTGTCTAGTATAAACAAGTATAAATTTACTTAAACTTGTTTCTTCTGTAAAACAGAACTGCTAATAGCACCTATTTGATAAGTTAGTCGTATGGTACAAATCAAAACCTGCAAAGCACTTAGAAGTAGTTCTTGGTCTACATTAAGATTGCTTAAGCCCTGACAAATACCGCAATCTGTCCTCATATCTGATTTGCCACATTGAGATTTGTTTACAAGTACCCCATAATGACATTGCTACTTTCACATAAAAAGCAGCAGATAAAGCTTTAGGTGTATTCAAGAAACACTGACCAGGCAGAATCCAGCAGCTAGCCAGCTGAACCAAACCTCACTGCTTTTCTGGAACTTACTTTAGAGTAAGGAGAGATACTAAAAGCCATTAAATAGAAAAAGTGAATAAAATGGAAAGCACTATGGGGAACACAAGACAGGAAAAAAGTAAAGAAAAGGATTACAATTTTAATTAAGGTGGTTAGCAGGCTTTCCCATGAATCATACAAAGAGGAAGCAGTAAATATGAAACTCTTAGGCAAGAGGCTACACCTACATTTTAGGAACAGCCCAGGTGGCACTGGAAGTAACATGAGCTAACAAGGAGGGACAGTCAGGGGTCAAACCACTTTTACAAATATGTTAAGCAGTTTAACTTCTACTCACAGCCAAATACCTTAATTCTTTTGAAGTCACTTGATATAATCAGTATTTACACATCTATTACTACATACAACATAATGTGTTATACTGCAAATGACAAAAAAAGGTAAATATATTCTACTTCTTAATTTTGTACTTCAGTGATTCTAATAAGATTATTTGGCATAATCTTTTTGTAGTTCCCCTTGAAATTGGCTATAGAGTCACTTAATCAAGAGTAGCTGAATTTCATAGTCGCTTCCAACAAGAATAGCTACTGCATATACTGTATGGGATCGTTATACAACTACTAGTTAAAATTTTCAAATATTAAATAGGGCATAAAAATCAGAAATCCAATGTAAGAATATGAATTCACATACCCATGCCTAAATATTTTAACATGATAAATCATAATTTAAATATGAGTTCATTTAAATGATTTGCTACTCTGTAAAGATAACTTCATAACAATCTAGGAGGCATACTTCATATTTAAAATATGTGAAGTCTGAATTCCAGGGACTATGGAATGATCAACACAAAGCCAACCTTAACCTTAGTCAATCCCACTTCAATTTCTTTCTTTTTTTTTTAAAGACTTATCTATTTTTATTGGAAAGTCAGATATACAGAGAGGAGGAAAGACAGAGAGGAAGATCTTCCATCCGATGTTTCATTCCCCAAGCAGCCGCAACGGCTGGAGCTGAGCCAATCCGAAGCCAGGAGCCAGGAGCTCTTCCGGGTTTCCCGCATGGGTGCAGGGTCCCAAAGCTTTGGGCCATCCTCCACTGCATTCCCAGGCCACAAGCAGGGAGCTTAATGGGAATCAGGACCGCTGGGATTAGAACTGGCACCCATATGGGATTCTGGTGCATGCAAGGCAAGGACTTTAACCACTATGCTATCGCACCAGGGCCCCCATTTCAATTTCTTTTCCTGAATTTAGCCCCTGTCCTGTTAAGCTTTGCACACTGTAGATGAGCATGCCAGCCCCCAAGTACAAGCTGTTTCCTTCCCTTGCTACACAAAAGCTGCTAACTTCAGTCCTCCAGTCACAGCATACCAGTGTCTCAGACATACGCTGTTTAATGCTTAGAAGAAATAAAGCTTCTAAAAGTTCATATGGGGCTATGTGAGCAAGAATTTCTGGAGCATTGGGCATCCATAGAAAGAAATAGGAAGCATATGACCTAAAAGGTCATCTCCTTATCTGTAATGCTGTTTATTTCATGACCTTGAGGATTTTGAGTATACAGACTCAACAGACAGGGCCCATTTTCTTTCCTCCTCCTTAAGAAGGTAATGGTTTCTAATAATCAGACCTGGAGTGTAAAACATCACAATTACTCTTGAATAGCAAAGAGAAGTACACAGAATATTCTAAGCGTCTGTATTGGGTGCAGCAATTGGCGTTGCTTGAGTTGCTTGCATCCACTATCAGAGCATCAGCATTTCACTCCAGCTATTTTCAATTCAGATTCCAACCTAAAATATGAACCTGCATCCAATTTTGTATTGTATTAGATGGATCCTCGTCACACACTGAGGAGACCTGAACTGAATTCCAGGTTCCTGGCTTTAGCACAGCCAATAGCAGCTGTTGTGCGGAACTCAGGATTGGACCAAATAAAGTTGTCTCTCTTCTTTGTTCTCTTTGCAGTTCAAGTTAAACAAATAATATTCTGAAAATCTATGTTCTAACTCACAACTGGGTTATTTTCATAAACATTTACTTCAAATTGACTTTATCTCATATTATATCTTTAAATCTTACCAGTTCATGTATAAATAAACAATCAACATTATCTAAAGAATTTATATGTTATTTTAATTTGCAAAGGAAAATAAAGGATGAAGACAGAAGGTTTGCTCTCATGCTAACTATAATACTCTACTTAATATGTTAAGTGTTATAATATTCAAATATTGATATAATAGCGGATATGTATTCATAAGTTATGATTTAATAGTGTATATAATAAAGAGCAAATATTCAGAGGACAGAAACATTTATGAATTAAAGATGTTTGGAACGCTTCATCAAGAAAGAAGCACTTGCATAAAAATTTTAAAAAATCAATAAGGCAGCAGCAGAAAAGGGACTAGAAATAAATATAAACAACTAAGTTACATGCATTTATTTATAGCAATCTAGTCATATATAACATATACACCATAGATCAAAGTTCTGAATTCCATTTAAAACAAAAATATAATTTACTTTTCAGTTATGAAGTAATTTGGTGTTTGTAATTTGGTAAATACAGAAATAATGAAATGAAAATGTTATCAAACTTGTCTTTAATTTGGTCACATCTTGTGAGAACCCAGACAACAGAAAATGGCGACAGTAAGGCTAGCTCTTCTGAAGCACCTCTGGGATATGTCCATAACCTGACCTCTGCCATAGCCTTGGGTTCCTGGAAAGACCCAGAAGAGAAGTGAGAGCGCTTATCTCATTCCAGGATGAGACCTTGCTTTTCTTTTACTGTTCAGGCAGTAAGCAGTAACCTGCCTGACCCGAATTATTTTCTGAAAACAGAATGGAAAGTTCCTGTTTGCCTGGTTCTGCTGTTCGTTATTACTTGGGATGTGACTCTTACTGATGGGATAGTTTAAAATGTGTGATGCTTAAACTGGGTATCTGTGTTGCCACTACAGTTGATTGGATCATTTGTGCTGTTCATTGTTCAATGATCTAAATTTGGTTGACTGAATGATTTGTATCACGTGCCAGTATTCTCAGTTTATTGGATAATCCTTGCTTAAGAACTCCTGATCAGGCTGATTGGGGCTGCTCCTCTCTTCCATGTGTGATGCAACAGGACAGTCCACCAGTCAGTGCCAGCTTGTGAATAATGACTGCTGAGTTTCTAAGAGTTTGCCTCTGACCATTTGGGGGGATAGATTTGTGAAGACAGATCGATATAGATTTTGTGGAGCCACTGAGAGTGAACGAGAGAAGCTTTTAGTTCATGCAGTTATATTAGTCAGAGAAGAGAGTCTGATGGATTGCTCCCTGGTGGGAAGTGGCCCACGACCACTTCCAAGTGGCAATTTAACCATTTGAGGGAAATGGCCACCCAGGGAATACAACATTAGTTTTGATGCATACCAGGCATGAGGGATGGGAGAAGGCAGCAGCTCCTCAGTTTACACATGTAGATATTTTGTAGCAGGGGATAATCATGGTGGGAGTTGACCTTTTGCTTAGGGAGAAGCTTAGATTGATACTGCCTTCCAAACCTTCCTAGATGGAGTATGGGTTTGACTTTTTCCAGGGTTGTGGACTCACTTCCGCTCACCACAACCTAACAATTACTCCAAAACTATCCAACCTCAACATCCTGTGTGTTTGAAAAATTATTTTATGTAAGTATTAAAATAGTAATAAATAACAACTCATTAAGTTATTGTGTAGAAACGAGCTCAGTAAGTCAAATGAAATTATAATATACTTTGAGTGAGGACAAATTTTTGCCAACTTTGTTTTTAGAACCGGGTTAAGCAGAACACAGAGCTGCTTCTCTCTTAGGATCACTTCATGAGCTCTTTCTTTGGATCAAGGTATGACTAGATGAATTACATGGTAGATGGGAAAGTTCAGAAACTTGAGTTGTCCAGTCCAGTGAGATGTTTTAGGTTTGTATTTTAAAAAGTCTTATTTTCCCTGAACTCAGAGTAACCTGATACAACAACTATTTTACTGAATTTATGTGCATCAAAGCTTTTTCCGCAGATGTTCACACAGGTAGTCTTCATCAGCCCAAAGTATAATAGTTTCATTTTCACTATATTAATAAGGAATTTGAGTTGAAGTGATTGCCCCATGATACATAGACTAAGGCCTACTAACTTTCTTTTATGGGTTCCATAATACCTTGAGGACACTATAAAAAGGCTTGCAAGAAGATGGGTTCGGAGTGGCTGCAATTCTCAAGGCTAGCTCATCATTGTTAAGAGATCCTGAGCCTGAAGAACAACTTTCATATGCAAACCCACCAAACCTCAAATAAACTGTCACCCAAAAATCTTTACCTAATTCTCCTGGTAGGCATATACCACCTGGAATCCACAGGAATTACTCAGGCCAGTCGGTAAATCCTAAACTGTGTACTCTGTCTAGTAGAAA